GAAATAAAATTTTATGAATTTGTCTATGTTGATCATTAATATATGATAATCTTAAATGATTTTATTATCAAAAAATTTGTAAACTTTATAACTCACAAGAACATTACTAAGAATAATGACAAACAATCATTCCACTTTCAACTCACTGCAAATACTGATCTAAATATTAAGATCAAATAAGATGATAGTGAGGGCGTGATAAATGAGGGCGCTATTGTTACTTTTATGAATTTTTCTTTATAACAATTTTTTAAAAAAGTTGTAAATAATTAATTTTAATACTCCATTATAAGAATATAATTAAAATATATATAATATATAAAATATATATAGGATGTTAATATTCACAGAATAACTTTTGAAAAATTAATTTTAGAAACCAAAATATAAAAGTTAATATACAAAAATGTGATTTAATAATATTTAATTAAGTTATAAGCAATTGAAGTTTGTTAGACAATATAGATAAAATATAAATAAGAACCATTCGGTTTCCGTTGTCCCATTTTATTCTTGCATTATTTAACGTAAATTTAAATTACTTACAACTTAATAAGTAAGCAATCAATCGATATTTTTATATGCCTTTTTATAACTTTCATGTTTTGATCTCTAAAATCGATTTTTTAAAAATGTCTTATAAATATACTAACATTTTATATATATGTGTGTATATATTAATCTTATAATTTACATTTATAAAAAATCTATGCGTAAATCAAATTCTGAATTTTCAACTTTTCTCTACGATTTTTTCAAAAATCCAAGATGGCTACACTGAGATGTAATGCGTAACGATTTTATCAAATAATAAGAAATTGAAAAAAAACAAAAGTTTTGTTGAATTAAGATAGCTTGTATACAATAAGTAATAAATAGATCAAATATCATTATAATTTTTTACGCCCTTGCACGTGATTTATAATATCATTAAAGTTAGAATAAAGATTTATATACAATTGCATGAACTGAAATATATTTTATGCAATGCATCAAATTAATTGAGCAATATATATTCATAGTCTAATTTTGAACATTAGTTCATGAACAGACACGATTAAAATGTATATTTTGAATTGTATTATTATATACACATTTATTTGAAATTATGTGAAATAAAATGGTATTTTAAATATTAGTTTTAACAAACAATTAAATATTATCATTTTGTATAATGTAATCTATTAAAATGTATCGTGCAAATGTAAGCATAATTAATTTTATATTCGTTTTTCGTTTAAATTTTTTTTAATTTTCTGATTTTTTCTAAATATAATATTTCAATATATATCTAACATATTTTATAATATTATTATATTATTATAATATTTAACATTTAATATTTAATATTATTATATAATTTAAATAATTTAAATAAAAAATTACTTGCTTTAGCAAAATGGACAGCCCCAAAGGGCAAATACTGAACCTATTCATCAAAATCGAGTTAATGGAAGGCAACCTCCTCCTGTAAATATTCCAATAACAGTTTCTGAACAATTTAGAGAATCATGGTTAACTGCTATTATTGGACTTATTATGTTTGCAACTGGCATGTGTCTTTTATTTTGGAATGAGGTTTGTAAATATTTCATCATTAATTAAAAAAGAAAATTTTTGATTAGATAATATTACAGGGGAGAGCAGTGAAAGTAGCACATTCTTTGGATGAAGCTTTGCGTAATGTAGCTATACTTCCAAATGCAATGAAATTATTACCTGAATATGAAGGTCGTTTAATACATTTATCAGGTCCATTAAAAATATCAGAACCATTAACTGAACCTGATTATGGTGTAATTGTATCAAGTGTAAAATTAAAACGAAGAGTGCAAATGTATCAATGGGTTGAGATAGAAGAAGAAAGAAGGTAAATTATAAAATATATTTTCATCATAAATCAATTCTATAATTTATAATTTTGTATATTAGTTTTGGAGGAGTAACAGAAGAAGAAAAACATTATTATTACACAACAGAATGGAAAGATAAACTTGTTGATTCAGATCATTTTTATATTAGAACTGGTCACCATAATCCAAAAGAAATGCCTATTAAAAGTCAAGTGCAAGTTGCAGATGAAGTTAAAATTGGTGCATTTATATTTGGGATTGAATTGAAAAAAAAATTTAATGATTTTGTAGAAGTTACGAGTGATGAAAGACCTGAACGTAAAGATATTAAAATGCATTCTGGTTTATATTATCATAGTTCTAATTTATGGAAACCTAAGGTTATTATTTAAAATTATATATAAATTACATATATAATTACATATATTAATTAGTAAGTTATATTATTATAATATAGTAATATAATTATAGTAAATTAAGCAATGTACATACACATTCACACATTTACTTATAGGTAGGTGATATACGTATACAATTCTCCTATGCAGGAAAAGGAGAAGATATATATTCTATAGTTGGTATGTTGCAAAAAGGAACTATTGTACCATATATTACATCACATGGAGAAGAAATTTTACTTCAAAGGAGGCATAAAATGTCAGTAGATCAAATGTTTCATTCTGAACATGTACACAATTATTGGCGTACATGGAGTATTAGGTAATTTTTTTTTAAAAATTTAAATAATATATTCTGATATTTCTTTTCTTTTTTATAAATATTTTGTCATAAAATTACTAACTATTTCAGAGGACTTGGCTGGTTAGTTTTATTTTTGGCAGCAACATGTTTAGCAAATATATTAAGAACTGTAATTCTAAATTCAACATTCTTATGTGGAATTATTGCAGTTGAATCTTTAACAATGTCTGTATCAATGTCTATTAGTCTATTAGTGATTGGTTTTGCTTGGGTATGGTATCGACCAGTAATAGGTCTTTGTTTAGCATTAGCATCGATTTTACCATTTATTTATTCAACATTAACTTCAGCATCTCAATCTCAACAACGTGATAGTTATAGAAGGCTATGAATTTTTATTAAATAATTAAATTATATTTATATAAATATATTCATTTATATTTTCTATTATTATGCTTTTTTGCATAATTTAATATTAAATTGTAACTAATCTTAAAAAATATTGTTAATCATATTGTAAATTATTATGCAATATAAATGTCATTGATCATTTTAAATATTTAAAATGTAGACAATAAACTATTTTATGAACTTTAAATATTTTCGTATAATTTTACATAATACAATTTATTTCTAGATAAATTTTCCCTATTTTTAATCAAAAACAATTGAATATTCAAATTCGATAGCGTAATTTTTAATATTGTAATTTTAGAAATTAAATTTTTTTTTTTTTTTTTTTGATTTCCCTAGATGTATGTATTTTAAAATTCCCCAATGAATGAAAGTTTATTTTTCTCTATCCAATAGCTTTCTTACGATTTAGTGAAACAAGATGGCCGCGAAAACTTTGTAAACGGAAACGTTTATTTTGATGACTCGAAGAAAAATTACATGCTTTAAATATTATTTTTGATTAGAGTGTGTGTGTCGAATTGACACAAAATAAACTTGATTTATTAAGAAATTAAATAAATGTAGATGACAATGACTGAAGAAACACAACAGTCTGAGACTGCCGCACAAAATGAGGCACAAACTAGTTCTCCAGATGTTGGAAAAGTTAAAGATAGTAAAAAAGAAAAATGCCGACCTATGACAAAGGTATATTTTTCTAAAATAATGCTAAATATTTAGAAGTCTTTTATCAATTATACAAAATATTCTTTAACCACATACAATATTATGTGCATAAAACAAAAATCGAAGTTTAATTTTCGATTTTTGAAACATTTATAACATAATTTTATAAAAAGATATGATAAAGATATGTTTATTTGATATATATTAGATAAAGATATCTGAAAGATAAAAAATAGCAAATTATATATATGTTTTATATAACAATAAATATGACTTTATTATTGAAAATGAAAATGTCATAACTACATGTCATATGACATCTTTTTGTTTTATTTTTTGAATAAAAATGACAAAATGTCTAATTCATATGATAATGATGATTTATATAAATTTTTATATTCATTATAAAAATATCTAAATATATATTAATTCAATTTTAATCAATAATAAAATAACTAAAATATATATTTATAGGTAGTAATACGGAGATTACCTCCAACTATGACTCAAGAACAATTTCTAGAACAGGTTTCTCCATTGCCAGAAAATGATTATCTTTATTTTGTGAAAGCTGATATGTCTATGGGACAATATGCTTTTGCCCGTGCTTATATTAACTTTGTTGAACAACAGGATATTTTTATGTTCAGAGAAAAATTTGATAATTATGTATTTATCGACTCCAAAGGTACAGAATATCCAGCTGTAGTAGAATTTGCACCTTTTCAAAGATTACCAAAAAAAAGAACAGGAAAAAAGAAAGATTTAAAATGTGGTACAATAGAATCAGATCCTTATTATATAAGCTTCTTAGAAACTCGTAAAAATCAAGAAGCTGAATCTAATATATCACAACCAAAAACAGAATACTCATATCAACCACCTGATAGTAAGTAATTTTTTAATAATTGATATGTTATATCATAAATTATTATATGCAATAATAAAAAATTTATCTATGAATTTATATATATTTATTTTACTGTTATAGATACACCAAAAAAAATTACAACCACTCCTCTTTTGGAATATGTAAAACAACGTAAACAAGAAAAGCAACGTCTCAGAGATGAAAAACGTGAAGAGAGACGACGAAGAGACCTAGAACGGAGGCGAACAAAAGAAGATCCTATCATATCTAAGGTGACACTACATCTTATAATGTGTTTAGTTAATTAATTGAAAGTAAACTAATTCAAATATGACAAATACAGTATAGAACAAAAAATTTATTAAACAAATATATGTAATCAAAATTGTTTTTAGCGCACGCGCAATATATATTACATTTTAAGTATTATATTCTCTACTGTATTTGCTGATACTAACCTTTTCGCTCTACAGTCTGCATGTAATATTGAAGATAATCAGACCAAGTATTCCTTCCTTTCTACTTCCTCAACTGTCAAGTCAGAAGATATATTTTTTGATCATCCTACTGAAAATCTAAGTGTATCTCATGAATGTAAAGAAGACATTTCTGGTAGTGGTACTGCAAACATGATCCAAGCTAACAAAAATTCCTTAAATGTTCAACAGTTTTACAGAAATGAGAATACTGAAGTATATATAAATTGCGTTAGAAGTGTGCCTTATGTTAATGAACGCTGGCATTACACTAATAAACAACGAAAATTATTTTATATTTACGAAAAAAATTATAAAGAAAAAGATGCTAATTGCAGAAAAAATAATTACAATCATTGGAGTAACATTAAAAATAATTATATTTATAACAACACTAAATGCACTAAATGCACATCTTATATTAATAATAAAAATTATTTTTCTGTTTTATCAAAATCTCAATTTACTAATTTACATAAAACTTGGAAAATGCAAATACCAATGGAAGTATCAAAGTCAAGAAGTTGCAGTGCTATGTTTGATTATCATAAACTTTATCCTTTTAAATCTTGTGAAACAGGATTGCCAGGATATCGTAAAACTTCATGAAATAGGAACTGCAAATGATTAGCAGGGAAATTCATGTTATGTATTTATTTACTGCATGTTAAAAGGTCATAAGGATTAAAGATTTATTCATCACTTATGCGATTTAGTTCAATGCTATACACTGTTTCCATTTAATATTGTATCCCAAATTTATATACATTTATTAAGATGTAATTAATTTATTACCGTTTAATTTGTATACATTAAATTTTGTAAAAGAAACTGTTTTTAGAAAAAAAAGTGAAAATTCTGTGTTGCTTTATTATAATTTATTCTTTAAATTATGATGTTGAACTCTATTAAAATCTGTTAATATTAAAATAAAAATGTTTTACTTAAAATAAATATTTTAATTTTGTTATAGGTATTGAAAAATCAAGATCTTGATAAAGAAATGTGTAAAGATAATAAAGAAAATAGGGAAGAAAAGGATAAATTTTCACCTAAAGATATAAAAAATCGTATTAAAAAGGACGATAAATTACGTGATAAAATATCACGTGATCGAGATTCTAAATCAATTACAAAAGGATACAGGGAAAGAATTGAAGATAGAAATAAAGATAAAGATATAAAACATCAAAGACGGCACGAGGATAAGAAGATATATGGAAGACGTGATGAAAGAGATGGTATAAAAGATGATAGAAGATTTGATGGAAAAGATGATAGAAAATATGATTTCAAAGAAGATATTAAAGATTCTAGGGAACGAAAAATAGAGGAAAAACGAGGTAAAAGTTATGAAAAAATGAGGCAAGAAAAAAAAAGACTTGCAGAAACCAAAAAACAGAATGTAGATTTTAATGTTGACACAGAAAATAATGTAAAATTAAGATGCGAGGACGAAGAATTTCAGAAAAAAGAATTTCAAGTTGATTCGTATGAAAATATTAAGGAAAATGAAGAATCTATAGATGATAAAGAAGATATTAAAAACAGTAAAGAAAAAGAGAAACAGGAAACTAATGAAAAAAAAGTTTTAATAGAAGATTCTGTGCAAGATTATGAGATCAAAGAACAGAAAAAATCAGGTATAATTTTTATAATATTATAAGTAAATATAATTTTTATATAAATATCTTATTTTTAAAATGTATATAAATATATTATATATTTATAGATACTATATTATCTACTATTGAAAGTAACAAAGATATTGAAAAATCAAAATCTAATGAAGATATTAATAAAGAAACTAATGAAGATAATGAATCTGAAGAAAAAAAGGATTCAAAAGTCACAAAGAGACGCAGTTCACTTGAAAGTGGAGGAGAAGGTGGTACAGGAGATGGAAATTGTTTAAGAAGGCATAAATCTTTGGATGGAGGAGATCAAAATAATTTACAGAAGACTGAAAATGAAGATAAAGAAAAAGATAAAAAGGATCCAAGATTAGAACGTCGAATTAGAAATAAGGTATTAATAATTATTTTAACTGAAATATTAAAAGTGATATTTAATATTTAATGTCTATTATTTATAAAAATATTTTTTATTATAAAATAATAGGATCGTCCTGCTATGGAGATTTATCGTCCTGGAATGGGGAAGTTTAGTAAACAAAGATTAGAACGAGAAAAATCTAATACTAACGACGAAAGAGCATCACTTTCACAAAGTCCTACTCCAAATCTTAATTCTAGTAATCTTTGTAAATCGGGAAAACCTGGAACAGAAGTACGTTCTATGACGTTTAAACGTAGTATTAGTCGTGATTTGGTATAACGATAGCTAAATGCAAATCTCTTCCTAATATTAATGCGATACATGTGAAACTTAATATATAAGATTTTTACACTAGTCTTTCTCATAACGTACAATATTACATAGTATATTTATTGTACACAAATGCATAATAAAATAGTGTTTTATTTACTACTAATAGCCACAAATGTATAAAATTTTTGGAGTTATCTACATATAGAGATTTGATATATGTACATTACTTTATGTTTAATTCTTTTGTTGCAATATATATGTGATACATAATATTATCATTCATTACTTAAATGTTATATCAAGTGTTCATTATTTTCATTAAAATAAATATTTCTATGATAATATTTTAATTTTTATATACCAGTTGTTATATTTTTGTAATATTAAAAAAAAAAAAAGATTGAAATAATAGTAATATACTTTAAGATTTTTATGAAAAAAAATTATTTAATTATTCATTATTTAATGCTATAAAATAAAAGAAATTATAAAATATATTTTTATAATTAAATATATATTTTATTATTAAAATATTTAATTAATAATTAAATTGTAAATATTTAGTATTTTTTCACTTACTTCATATTTTGTTTTTTAATCTAGTATCAAAAAATACAAAATTGTATGTTAAATATGTACAAAAATTTTAATTCCTCATTCGTGATTGGGATAAACGTGCTGAAGATCTTTCCGGAATACGCAAAGGTGTTACTTGTTTATTTCTTTTTGGTAATGATGATGGTGTAGCTGCAATTGAATTAATGCGCTTTTTTCGACTTGACCTTGTTATGATCTGTGCAGGTGCATTTTCTTTAACTATTATGAAAAGAAATAATA